ATAGACAATAAGAGGGTAAGGTAACTAACTACACACACCCTTGTGGTGTCAGACGATTACATTTTCGTACGGGGGAAAATGACGGGAAGAGAGAAAGATTTGACATGACATTCTACTCCGTTTCCTTGGCTTCATCTCCCTTTTAATTGGATGTTAGGGAAGGTGGCACCGCACATTCTGTACGCAAAGGAGGGGTCCAGGTTTACGCTGGCCTCTCTGCCTGTTTTTGCCATCGTTCACACCCCTTGCAGCAATTTTCTTATTCTTTCCATAACGCATTACGTGAGCCACTGCGCTTACCTTTAACCGCTGTGGTATTTAGAGAGGACCACAATACACCTCCTCCAGGGGTTGCTTGGGCTCCGGGTGTTCGGTCGGCAAGGAGGAGCGCAGGCAAAGCCAATGTCGCAAAAATCAAACGCATTTTTTCCCACGTAATGTCCTCTTTATGTTTATAGATTAAATAGGTCCTCCGTTTCCTTCTTTAGCTTCGCAACACGCAATATTCGTCCAAACAGACACTAAAGTGAAGTGCTGTTCCTGGAAAGGAAGGCGAAGGCTGATCCGGGCAGGCGGGGAAGACCCTCAGAAATACTACCTGGTTTGGGATAAAATGTCTCTAACAGATTAATATGCAGGATATGGGGATTACAATGTGTGTTTGAGCTTGAAATATGATGCATTTTATGTTATATGGCTTTTATGCGGACGTCCAATCTGGATAAAGAATGCTGGACGGAGGAGGTCGCTGACCAGGGAAGGTAAAACCCTTTAGGAAGGGAGAAGTAGCGGGAACGGGCCAAGACAAGGGGGATCACACCGATCGCCAAGAGGATAGTCCCTATACAATTCTCCAGCAGCTGAGAGATTAAGACTAACCGATAGTCACAAGGGAACAGGCAGAAATGCCGTGTAAAAAATATGATGGCCGGTGATCGAAGTACAGGCGTCCTTCCCTTTCAGACGTATCGCCAAACGCCCGTTCAAAAAATTGAAAAACCGTTAGGGGGCTTCGACTTAAGCGAGGTTCGAGGTCCGTAAAACGCAGCAGACGGAGCTTCGAGGACCTTCCGTCTTTTGGTATCATTCTTAAATACAGAGAGGGTCGGAAATGAACAATCATACACTAAAAGGACTGGGAACGGTGGTCACAATGTCCAGAGACAATGATTTAATACGCATAGATTGGCTTTTGTAAGGGATAGAAAATTTTCTCTCTCTTCTAGTACATCTTTCATCACAAATCTTTTCCGTGCTTTATGGAGATATAGAGCTACGTAATATCGTTATGTATTACTTTTTAATTGTTTTTTTCCCCGTTAAAATCATGCACACGCAATCTGTACTTTTTTATCGACACAAGGAGATCGACACCCTATCTTTTTGCAATCATTCATTGCTCTGCATTCCTCACCTGTGCTTATCGTCTACAACTTCTTCTGCCGTGCTCAATCTATTCACTCTCTTTTCGCACCCGTGTGTGTCTCCGTCGGAACAGCACTTTCCATCATAACACTTACTTTCGTCGCAATTCCCCTCACAAGTCCACTGCGTTGATTACTCGATGATTTTTGTAGTAGACCTTGTTTCTTATCTAGAGGCTCGTGCGCAAGTGTTTCTAATTCTGTTCTTTACGGCTTTCAACTCTAAAGTTCGTGGAGGCAATATGCTTATGAGTGTTTTCCCTCTTCAGCATATTTTTCACTTCTCATACGCCGTTCGGTCCCACCCTAACAGCTGCTCCACCACTTCTCTTCAAAGGGATCTGACCCAGATCGACCGTATCCTCGAGGCTCCCCCGAGTCCTTCTTAAAGCTTGTAATTTTATTTTATAGCTTAAGCCATGCACATGTCCTTCTTACATTACCAATATTCTGTTCAATGTTTTTGCGGCAACTGTTTGGTCAGAGATAGGTGCCGCAAAGCGCCCAAAGCCGCTGTAAATCCTGCATTATAGTCTATAAAGTACGGGTAGGGCATATAAGCATGAGAATTATATACAAATACGCTCCCAAACTCAATGACGAGTGGATCCTCGGCAGATTAGCAGGGAAAAAGTAGTTTCTGATACCACGAGAGGGAGGAGGCAAGAAGAAAGGATGGAGAAGAAACGGACGCACCTGTGGTGACCTCGTTCCGGGTGTAGTCAGAGCACGAGTCGGAGTAGTCATCGTTGTTTCCGGGCCCACCCACTAAGGCGCCGTAGAGGACGTGGGGTTGCGGACTGCTGCCACAGTTGCAGTTGGTACCAGACCAGCAGGAGGAGCCACGGTGGTGGGGAGCCTGGAGGTGGGAAGGACATTGGAGGAGGGGGAGAATGAGGAACGATGGTATGCGCTTCGAAAGGCCATACACCTGAGGTGGAAAAGGCAGTGAGTGAAATGGCCCCGGGGGGGTTTGACGTACCCGAGGGAAATCATCGCCGTAGCCACACACGTAGGAGAAGAAAGGCAAGCCCGTGGCGTTATTGATCCCACCGTGGGCATCACCCAGCATGTAATGGATCTGCTGCATGGCCCAAGCCCGACCGTCCTCGACGTGGATCCCGTAGTCGGCTGCCACCAGGGCAATGAAGGCCCCGTTCGCTGCGTAACGGTTCGACCCCCATTTATCCCAATACGCCAAACCTTTGGGCGTCTGGCCTTTGCCAATGGCACCGCCGACGAAATTGCTCGAGTCCGTTTTGTACTGGGATTTTCGGGTATGCTTGTAGAGGAGCAACTGGACCCCGGGAGCCTTTGCGTCCCACGAGTAGGACCAGGCGGAGCCGCAGCACCCGCCGGCGTACAAGCTTTCTGCCTTGTCCAAATACTCCTGTTCCCCCGTCGCTTCGTACAACCAAGCCGCCCCCCACGCCAATTCGTCGCGGAAGCCGCTCGAGGAATAGAAGGGCTGGGAGACAGAGAACCCGCCTTGATTCCCGTCTCCGAGGGCAAATAAGGACTTAGCCGTGTCTATCAAATGCGCCGCGTAAACGCTGTCTCCTTGTTGTTTGAACAACACAGAAATCGCAGCCAGCGCCGCAGCAGCCTCTCCAATGGCAGCCGACCCTGCCTCCCGGCCCCGCCCGACCGCATAGGACGGCCGGCTCATCGTCATCGATTCCGCGGTGCCCCAATACCCGTGGTCGCTGTTCCCGTTGCCCACCTGCACGTAGTAGGTGTCAGGATCCGGGTGGCATTTCACCAGGTAATCTGCCACCCATTTGAGCTGGTCTAAAGCATTGCTCAATTCCCCTGCTTTCTTCCAGGCGTCCCAATATTCGTGCACGCCCCAGGCCAAGGTTGTCGCGGACCACGCCATGGGAAAATTGAATTTCACGTGGTCACCAGCGTCATACCAGCCTCCTGTTAGATCCAAATTTACGTCTTTTCCGTCCTCTAAGGCAGAGTCTCCCCGCCACGGAATCCTGTTGGACGCTGGCAATGGCCCCGACCGTTGGGCTTCGTAAAACAACAAGGACAGACCCATCACGTGCCCGTAGTTGTATTTTTCCCCGGCCCGAGCAGGTTTCATGGGCACGGACATGTGGGTGGGTGCTAAGGTTGGTGCTGGTGTAGGAGCTCCAGGGCGGTAGGTGGGAGCGGGGGAGGGCGGAGGCCCGCCCCCCCCGAACGGTTGCCAGGGATTTTGAGCTTGAGTGGTGCTCGGCAGAGCTGTGCACAATAGAAGAGGTGCAATAGCAGAGGTGACGGTACGCATTTTGATCATAGGTTGACGGTCTATATGCGAGGCAGTTTCAACTGGCTTGGCACGCGAAGTGTGCCTGTTATGTTGCGATGATGTGCGCTGGAGGTAAGTTGATGCACGAATCGATATTACTGCCGTACGTCTTGGTTCTTGCAATTATTACCTCACACGTCGATTATATATATATACGTAATCAAAGTTCTTGAATTGATAGGATTGAAATGACAGGTAGGACGAACGTGCAAAGTACAAGGGAACAGATCAGAATAAAGCATATTCAAAGCGGAGGGTGCGAGCTATGATTTCCTCGTCCAACGGCTCGAGAAAAATAAAACGGAATTAAATTCGCCAGAAAGCCACGAATCATTGCTTTTTAGTCTACCTGCTAGATACCAGGCATACATTCCTCTCCTGGATAGGCGATCTATTTTCTGCCAGATCTTTCTGGCCTCCAGGCGTGTAACGGCGCTATTCGAATTCAAATTTCTTAGAGTCCTGGTGTAAATTGATGGTTGATCAAGGACGTGGGAACCTAGACTTATAAGTTAGCGACCAACATATCGGCAAATGTATATATCTACACGTACATAGTACTTTGAACACTGACTGGAGTGTGTGCATGTTGCCAACGAGGATCCCGGTGTCCGATTCCCAGGGAAACGGTCGGCGCCGTTTTGTTCATTTCAAAATGGAAATCTATCACGCTACCTACCAAGCAAATATTCTCCCTTTTTTTCCCTTTTTGCCATTCAGAACGATATTTATATCAATAATTTTACATATAGTCATGTATTCAGCTTGATAAGAATACATGGATGCGGACCGAGATGTTAGACACGACAACGTTTTGTTCTATGCATAACGGTCGCACCGTTTCGCTCTATTTTGAATCAGAAGATACCTCGTTTCTCCACCAAGAAGTCCACATCTTTCTCTCAACATGTCATGTAGGACCAACCAGAACTTGGTTACATCCTCTTTTAACGCTTTAAAAGGTAATGGCATGTCTGATGCGATAGACTAGAAATGTTCTGTCACATCCTTAATTTGCAGTACCAAACCGTGCACTGAATACATCTTATCCGACCACCATGCACGTACTTCTCCACGACTCAGCTTGCACATGAATATTTCATGGATGTCCTCAGGCATGAGTCGAATATCCCATCTTCACGACCTAATTCTCCTTTCCTCTCTATCGATTCTTCAAACTTTACAGAATCAAGTACCCGAGCGGGACAAGCAATTAAATTCTTCTCAAATACAAGAAAATCTGCTTTAAGCATGTCTTCTCCCTTCCAAGCCTACCAAAAATTAAAGCGCCGCACCTTGGTGACGACCGCTTCTCTTCTTTTGCTGACCTGGCCGCAGGTTTCAACAGCCCGGGAGCACGGTGCTCCCATTCCAAAAGACGCAAAGCCCTTGATGGACCCTGCGCGCGCCCAAAGTTTGCCCATGCGGATGGAGGAACCTTTCCTTTTTCCTACCAAAACCTACCATGTCCCTCCCCCCGGACCGCCCAAGGGGGACGAAATTTACAACTACGGCCACGTGATGAAGCTGTCGTTGCTTTTCTACGAAGCGCAACGGTCGGGGAAATTGCCGAAGGACAATCGCATCGACTGGCGAGGCGACTCGGGTATGGAGGACGGCAAGGACGTGGGCGTGGATTTGACCGGTGGATGGTACGATGCCGGTGACCACGTCAAATTCAATTTCCCCATGGCGTGGAGGTAGGTTCAAAAATGGGCACAAGGAGAGGGGCCCTTTTTTTGAAGCAGCCGCCCTGGGGATGTCATGGTTGATAAGTACAAAGTCATGGCGCTCGTGGTCGCTCGTGTCTGACATCAAAGATGTGCGCCAGTAGTAGATTTTTCGCTTCCTGAGGAGTAGAAACTCACTGGCTCGCATTCCCTCCCTCCCTTCCTCCTTCCTCCCTCCTTCGCTCCCTCCTTCCTTCCTTCCTTCCCTTTTCAACTTCTTCTCTGGATCTTAGCGCCACCACACTTGCCTGGGGTATGCATGAATTTTACGACGCCTGGCAGGACGCCGGAGAGTTGAACAACGCCTTGGACGGTCTGAAATGGGTGACTGACTACCTGATCAAATGCCACCCGGACCCTGACACCTACTACGTCCAGGTACCCTCCCTTCCTCCCTCCCTCCCTCCCTCCCTCCCTCCTTTCCTTTCCTTGTTTCTGACCACTTGTACTGG